GGAGCCAAATTGAAGAGTCGCCTCGAGTCGCAGCGTGTACGACGCCCNCGCGACGAGCGAACCCGAGGCGAGCACGAGATCGTGGTCGCGATGCTGGGCCGGACCCGAAAGCGCCGGAGCGGTCCTCGCCCAGTACGCGAGCGGAGCCGCGCCCTCGAGCGCGCCCCTGGCGACGGTCCACGTCGTGTTGAAGGCGCGCGAACTCGGAACGTCGTTCCCCAAGCTCGAGGGCGACGCGGCGCCGTAGAGGATGACCTTCGTCGACGCGGCAACGCGCGCGCCGACGCTGGACTCGATCGCGACCGCCGGCGGGTCGCCGTCGACCAGCTCGTAGGTCACGCGCGCGGTCCCGGACCTTCCGTCCGCGGCCGTCGCGTTGAGCGAGACCACGAAGCTCCCGACCCCGATATCGGTTCCCTGCAGAGAGACGCTTTCCGCATCACCGCTCGCGGCGCTATTCAGCGCGGCATCGCACGCCGGGTCGTTGCAAGCCCACGCAAAGGAGAGGCCGGCGTCCGCCCCGAACGCGTCGTCGATGTCTTCGTCGTACGATTCGGACGCGCTCAGCTCCACGACTCCGGCGAGGGGAAGCACGCGACTTCCTCCGGCGATGACGGCGACGACCTCGGCCCGACCGACGGATATGGTCGCCGTAGACGTCACGTTCGTGCCCGCTTCGACGTCGGCGGCCGTCGCGGCGAGCTCGTAGTCCGTCGCGGCCCCCAGAGAGTACGCGGGAAGCTTGAAGTAGCGCTGATCGTTGGACGTGGATGTCCAGTCCGTGACGAGGAGGCTGCCGTCATCGAGAAATCTGCTGAGGACCCACTGGATAGTCACGGCGCGCTCGGCCGGGGGGCGCCCATCGCACGAGGTCGCGATCGCGTTCGCTCGGACGGAGAGTGCCGTCGGTCGTGTCATCGAGACAAGTGTCCCTCCGACGATCTCGAGATTAGGAGGCGTGTCCGTGCGAACTTGCACGAGGAACGGCGCCGACGGCGCGCTCGTGCCTCCGAGGAAATTCGCGAGGACCAGCGTCACCTCGAGGCTGTGAAGGCCGCCGTCGGCCATGACAACGAGATCCTCGGACGACACCAGAAACGATGGATTTCCCGTGCCTGTATTCGCCGCGTCGATCACCGAAGCCAACGTGGAACGCATCGCGGCCGTCGCGTTGCTGGCGTTCGCGGAGGCTGCCCAGTCCTCTCGCAAGATCGCCGTCGCATTCCACGCGTAGACCATCGAGCGACCGCCACCTCCCGTGGACTGCGACGATCCAACCGCGAGGTCTTCGCACGAGGCGGCCGTCGTCGGTCCATCGAGCAAAGCTTCGGGGATGAGCGGCGGATTGGGCGGCGCCGCGGACGCGACCGACGCGTTCGCGTAGCGGTCGCAGTCGCACCTCTCAGCGGCGGGGTCGCAGTCGCGTTTGATCGTGCCCGAGACGAGGGTCACGTTCGAGCCAGGGACGAAATCGATCGCGTCGCCCACGTCGGCGTTGATCTCGCGCGCGTTGATCCAGTAGCACGTCGAGCCGGCGGCTCCCGCGAAGCTCAGAATCTGATCGCAAGCAAACCGCGACCCCGCCGACATGGCGGCCTGGTCCGTCGCGGCGTCAAAGATGACGACGAGCTCGGCCCCAGTCTTTGAAAAGTCCGCGCGAGAGAGTTCCGGCTCCGCGTCAACGGCGCCGCGCGCGCGCAGCACCGAGCAGGGAGTCATCGTGGGCGTAGAGCTCGGACTTGCAGTCGTCGGTATCACCGTCGGCGCCGGAACCGGCACTCTGGTGGGGCTCCCCGGCTGTGGAGACGGTGCGGGCGTCGGTCCCGGCGTCGGCCTCGCGGACGGTCTCGACGTCGGATGCGGGCTGGTCGGGTGCGAAGAAGGTGCCGCAGTTGGCCTCGGTGTTGGCTTCGACGATGGATACGCCGAAGCAGTCGTTGGGAGCGAGGTAGACGGCTTCGGGCTCGGCGCGATCGACGGGGGCGCCGACGGCGCGCTGGACGGCGTCGACGTCGGTGATGGCGCGGGTCGGGCGCCTACGTTCGCCAGAGATTTCATTTTTCGAAAGGGATAAATAAGATGCAGGGACGCTGCGACGCGCTCGGCGACGGCGAGGGAAGCGACGTCGGCCAGAAAGTCGGCCCGCTCGTTGGATTGAGCGTTTCAACGATGGTGGTCTCGACGCTGACGACCGACTGGGGCGAGATGAAGTCCTGCGCCGCGGCGGACTCTTCCAGGCGTCGTTGGGAACCCGCCATCCAACTGTCGTCCGTCGTTTGCGCGATGCGATCCGAAGCCCAATCCCCCGAGTCGACCTTCGATTGGAAGAACGCGTTGAGCGCCTCCTTGACCGTGTAGAGCGTCGAGCCGTCGTCACGCGAGAAGAGTGACGACGCGTACGCCGTGAATCGGATCGAAAACAGGGCGGTGACGGCCTCCCCGGGGTCCGTCGCGTTTGTCCCATTCGGTGAGCACATGGCATCGATGCTGGCGAGGCTGTCGACGCTGGCGACACTGGATCCGCTCTGCGCCATCAACGCGTCAATGTAGTCGTAGACGACCGCCTCCTCGATCTGATCGATCCGCGCGCTGTAATAGTCGTCGCAATAGTCTTCTGCCGTTGCGTAGCTGGTGTCTGCCGTCTGGGTGTAGAGAGCTATTTCCAGGGACACCGTGTCCCGCGTGGGGGCGGGCGTCGGCACGGCGCTGGGGATCGACGTCGGTTGCGCCGAGGGCGCGGCCGTCGTGGGCGTCGACGTGGTTGGCAGGGCGGTGGGGATTGAGGAGGACGGCGCAGACGACGGTGGAGCGCTCGGAGCGGGGATCGGAGCGCGGGACGTCGGCAGCTGGATCGGAGCCGGGCTCGGCGCCGGCGACGGCGACGGGATAGGCTGCAGCGATGGTTGAGGACTGGGAGCCGGGATCGGCGCCGGCGACGGCGACGGGATAGGCTGCAGCGATGGTTGAGGACTGGGAGCCGGGATCGGCGCAGCAGTTGGTGCCGGAGACGGATTCCATGGTGCCGCCGTTGGCATAGGAAGAGGCCTCAGGGATGGGAACGTAGTCGGCGCCGGCGCCGGCGACAGCGTCGGTCTTGGCGCGGGAGCGTTGGTTGGGATCCCGGGTGCCACCACCGGCGACGGTGTCGGCCCAGCAATGGGGGTAGTCGTCGGATCTCCGGGCGCGACCACCGGTGACGGTGTCGGCCTCAGCACAGGAGCGGCCGTCGGATTTCCCGGTGCGACCACCGGCGACGGGGTTGGCCTCAGCACTGGAGCGGCCGTCGGGTTTCCCGGCGCGACCACCGGCGACGGGGTCGGCCTCAGCACTGGAGCGGCCGTCGGATTTCCCGGTGCGACCACCGGCGACGGGGTTGGCCTCAGCACTGGAGCGGCCGTCGGGTTTCCGGGCGCAACCACCGGCAACGGTGTCACTGGAGCGGCCGTCGGGTTTCCCGGCGCGACCACCGGCGACGGGGTCGGCCTCAGCACTGGAGCGGCCGTCGGATTTCCCGGTGCGACCACCGGCGACGGTGTCGGCCTCAGCGCTGGAGCGGCCGTCGGGTTTCCGGGCGCGACCACCGGCGACGGGGTCGGACTCGGCACAGGAGCGGCCACGGGCGGGGACGAGCACCCACACGCGCGCTGGCAAGCGTCGTAGCCGACCGAGCCGTCGTCACCAACGACAACGCAGCGATTCTCAGGAAACTCGGCGACCCACGGACAGTTCTTCGACGGCGTTCCTTTCTTGTACCAAGACGCGCTGTCAACGCAGGGCGTAGTTGGACGCGATGTCGGCACGATGACGGGTGAAGTGGTCGGGTTCCCAGGCACCACCGTCGGGGACGGAGTCGGCTGATGGACCGGCGCTTGCGTCGGAGATACTGGAGCGGCCGTGGGCGGGGACGAGCACCCGCACGCGCGCTGGCAGGCCTCGTAGCCGACCGAGCCGTCGTCACCAACGACAGCGCAGCGGTCCTCTGGGAACCCGGCGACCCACGGACAGTCCTTCGACGGCTTTCCTTTCTTGTACCAAGACGCGCTGTCATCACACGCCGTCGGTCGAGGAGTAGCAGGCTGCGGTGTAGGAGACGGATTCAGCGGCGCGGAAGGCGGCGGTGTCGGAGGCCCGATCGTAGTCGTAGAGATAGTGGCCGCCGAGACGCGAATCGTGGTGAGGTTCCTGAACGCTGCCGCGAGGTCAGCGCTCTCGGCGGCGGCAGCAATGGCGCTGTCCATGGAGTCGATCGTCGCCGCGTCGATGTTCGACGCCACGTTTTCCGCAGCCGCGTTCTCCGCAACCGCCACGGTGTAGATCATTTCGAATGACGACGAGGCCTCATCGAGGCGTCGCCGGGCTCCGGACGAGAAGTCGAGCGCGAGCGAGTCGTCGTCCTCGACGCCAGCGACGTCCGCCAGCGCCACACGAAAGACGCCCTCGTTCGCCGCCGCGCCCTCAGCGGTCATGCCGGCAAAAGTGGCGCTGCCATTCACCTCGAATGTGTCTCCGGTGGTCGCCACGATGGTGGGATAGAGCGTTGGAAGAAACGACCGCGCGCGCGTCGTGGGCGAGGCCGTTGTCTCGACGTTTGTCGACGGCGCGCGCGTCGTGGGCGAGGCCGTTGTCGCGACGTTTGTCGACGGCGCGCGCGTCGTTGGCACCATTGTAGTCGGGGATGGGGACGGCGCCGTGCTCGGGGATGGGGACGGCCCCGTGCTCGGCAGAGCCGACGGCACCGCGCTGGGCCAGCTGCTGGACGGCACCATCGTCGGCGCGGGCGTGTACGAGACCTGGAAATCGATGGAATCCGTCACGGAGGCGTCGCCATCGCACGTGAGCGTCAGCGTGTACTCGTTTACCGTCGAGTCGCCGGAAACCACCTGCGTCACCTGGCCATCGTTGTCCAAGATGTCTGCCGTCTGGACGACGTTGCCGTCTGGATCCGTGAAGACGGCGGTCAAGGTCGCACAGGCGCTCGAGTCGCCGCGGTACACCCAGAGGAGCTCGCATTCGACGTCGTGGACGCACGTCGAACCCGTGCCAATGCTTGAGATTTGCAAGAAAGAGGCCGTGGGCACGATCGTCGGAAGAGCGCTCGGAGACGGCGACGGCGGTGCGGACGGAGTCGCGCTCGGAGAAGCGGACGGCGTGGCGCTCGGCGTCGAGCTCGGGGATGGGGACGGCGCCGCGCTTGGCGAAGGCGACGGAGCGGCGGACGGCGTCGCGCTCGGGGATGGGGACGGCGCCGTGCTCGGGGATGGGGACGGCCCCGTGCTCGGCAGAGCCGACGGCACCGCGCTGGGCCAGCTGCTGGACGGCATCATCGTCGGCGCGGACGAGTACGACACCTGGAAATCGATGGAGTCCGTCACGGAGGCGTCGCCATCGCACGTGAGCGTCAGCGTGTACTCGTTTACCGTCGAGTCGCCGGAAACCACCTGCGTCACCTGGCCATCGTTGTCCAAGATGTCTGCCGTCTGGACGACGTTGCCGTCTGGATCCGTGAAGACGGCGGTCAAGGTCGCACAGGCGCTCGAGTCGCCGCGGTACACCCAGAGGAGCTCGCATTCGACGTCGTGGACGCACGTCGAACCCGTGCCAATGCTTGAGATTTGCAAGAAAGAGGCCGTGGGCACGATCGTCGGAAGAGCGCTCGGAGACGGCGACGGCGGTGCGGACGGAGTCGCGCTCGGAGAAGCGGACGGCGTGGCGCTCGGCGTCGAGCTCGGGGATGGGGACGGCGCCGCGCTTGGCGAAGGCGACGGAGCGGCGGACGGCGTCGCGCTCGGGGATGGGGACGGCGCCGTGCTCGGGGATGGGGACGGCCCCGTGCTCGGCAGAGCCGACGGCACCGCGCTGGGCCAGCTGCTGGACGGCATCATCGTCGGCGCGGACGAGTACGACACCTGGAAATCGATGGAGTCCGTCACGGAGGCGTCGCCATCGCACGTGAGCGTCAGCGTGTACTCGCTCACCGTCGAGTCGCCGGAAACCACCTGCGTCACCTGGCCGTCGTTGTCCAAGATGTCTGCCGTCTGGACGACGTTGCCGTCTGGATCTGTGAAGAGGGCGGTCAAGGTCGCACAGGCGCTCGAGTCGCCGCGGTACACCCAGAGGAGCTCGCATTCGACGTCGTGGACGCACGTCGAACTCGGTGCCCATACTCGTGATCTCGATGAACGAAGCCGTCGGCACGATCGTCGGAAGAGCGCTCGGCGAGGCGCTCGGGGACGCCGACGGCGCCGCGGACGGCAGGGGCGACGGTCCGGCGCTCGGCAAGGCGCTCGGGGACGCCGACGGCGCCGCGGACGGCGAAGAGCTCGGAAACGAGGACGGCGCCGGGCTCGGCGAGGGCGACGGCGCGGCGGACGGCGCCGAGCTCGGAAACGAGGACGGCGCCGCGCTTGGCGAGGGCGACGGCGCGGCGGACGGCGCCGAGCTCGGGAATGGGGACGGCGCCGCGCTCGGAGAGGGCGAAGGCGCGGCGGACGGCGCCGAGCTCGGGGACGAGGAGGGCGCCGCGCTCGGAGAAGGCGACGGCGCGGCGGACGGCGCCGAGCTCGGGGACGAGGCGGGCGCCGCGCTCGGAGAGGTCGACGGCGCGGCGGACGGCGTCGAGCTCGGGGACGAGGAGGGCGCCGCGCTCGGAGAGGGCGACGGCGCGGCGGACGGCGTCGAGCTCGGGGAGGAGCTCGGGAGAGAGGACGGAGTCGCGGACGGCGTCGCTGAGGGTATCGTGGTCGGCGTCGCCGTCGGCGCGGCCGTGACGGCGTCGTAGAGGACCTGGATCGAGGCCGCGTCGAGCGCGCTCGAGTAGACGTAGACCTCGTCGATGGAGCCGTCGAGGTAGCCGCTCAAGCCTCCCGAGTTGCGCACTCCGAGCGTCAATGAGTTGTCGGAGCCGGTGTCCAGGGCCACGGTCTCGGTGTGCACCACCGTCCCGTCGAAGTAGAACACCCAGTCCGTTCCGTCGTACGTGTGGCAGTACTGGTGCCAGTCGCCGTCGTCGGAGCCGGATGCCGCGATGTCTCGGGAGTCGTAGCCCGACCCGTACCCGAGTAGGATAAACTCCCCGGCCGTCGACTCCGTCATGAAGCCGAACCGCTCCCCTGACTCATTCGAGTCGTACGAGAACAGCGTTCCGGTGCCCCACTCCTCGAGGCGCGCCCACAGGCACACCGTGCGCGCGGCGCTCCCGAGGATGTCCGCCGTCACGGCCGAAGGAAACTCGACGTAGTCGTCCGTCCCGTCGAAGGACAGCGCGCCGCCGACCCCGTACTGCCCCGTCGTCGCCGTCGCGCCGCTGATGGTGCCGTCGAGGCTGCTGTCGCTGTCCTCGGCGGCCGTGCCGTCGTCGAAGGAGTAGTACGCGACCAGTGTGGAGTGGGACACGTGCGTCGGCAGCGGCGTCACCGTCGGCGCGGCCGTGACGGCGGCATAGAGGACCTGGATCGAGGTTTCGTCGAGCGCGCTCGAGTAGACGTAGACCTCGTCGATGGAGCCGTCGAAGTAGCCGGTGTAGTATCCCGAGTAGCGCACTCCGAGCGTCAATGAGTTGTCGGAGCCGGTGTTCAAGGCCATGGTCTCGGTGTGCACCACCGTTCCGTCGAAGTAGACCACCCAGTCCGTTCCGTCGTACGTGTGGCAGTAGTGGTGCCAGTCGCCGTCATCGGATCCAGATACCGCGATGTTTTTGATGTCGTAGCTCGATCCGTACCCGTTCAACTTAAACTCCCCGCTCGTCGACTCCGTCTGGGCGCTGAACCGCCCCCCTGAATCATTCGAGTCGTACGAGAACAGCGTGCCGCTGCCCCACTCCTCGAGGCGCGCCCACAGGCACACGGTGCGCGCGCTGCTCCCGAGGATGTCCGCCGTCACGGCCGAAGGAAACTCGACGTAGTCGTCCGTGCCGTCGAAGGACAGCGCGCCGCCGATCCCGTACTGCCCCGTTGTCGCCGTCGCGCCGCTGATGGTGCCGTCGAGGCTGCTGTCGCTGTCCTCGGCGGCCGTGCCGTCGTCGAAGGAGTAGTGCGCGACCAGCGTGGAGTGGGACACGTGCGTCGGCAGCGGCGTCACCGTCGGCGCGTGCGTCGCGCAGTCGTTCTCGTACCAGGCGACCGTGTCGTCGGTGCAGGACGCGGAGAGCGCGTCGACGTCGCCGTCGCCGTCGACGTCGATCGCAAAGACAAAGGTAGGCCCGTCCGCCGAGTTCGTGAGGACGCGCTCAGTGAAGGACTGCGAACCGTCGTTCTCGTACCACGCGACCGTGTCGTCGATCTTGGACGCCGACAGCGCGTCGATGTCGCCGTCGCCGTCGAAGTCGATCGCGAAGACCACGCGGGCGCCGTTACGCGCGTTGTTGATGACGCGCTCGGTGAAGGACTGCGACGCGTCATTCTCGTACCACAGGACCGTGTCGTCCCCGTAGAGCGCCGACAGCGCGTCGACGTCGCCGTCGCCGTCGACGTCGATCGGGAAGACACAAAAGGCTCCATCCGCGAGTGCCGTGATGATGTGCTTCGCGAAATTCTGGGACCCGTCGTTCTCGTACCAGGCGACCGTGTCGTCGGAGTAGGACGCCGCGAGCGCGTCCACGTCGCGGTCGCCGTCGACGTCGATCGCATAAGCGACGCGGGCGCTGTCGGCCTCGTCGTCAATAACGCGCTCCACGAAGAGCTCAGACCCGTCGTTCTCGTACCACGCGACGGTGTCGTCTATTCGGATCGCCGCCAGCACATCAACGTCGCCGTCGCCGTCCACGTCGATTCCGAAGACGAAGTAGGCTTCGTCCGCAAGCGTCGTGATAATATGCTCGGTGAAGGACTGCGACCCGTCGTTCTCGTACCACGCGACCGTGCCATCTTCCCTGGAGCTCGACAGCACGTCGCCGTCGCCGTCGCCGTCGACGTCGATCGCGAACAAGCCAAAGGCACCGTCCGCGAGCGTCGTGATGATCCGCTTGGTGAAGGACTGCGACCCGTCGTTCTCGTACCACGCGACCGTGTCGTCGTCTTGAGATGTCGCCAGCGCGTCGACGTCGCCGTCGCCGTCGACGTCCATCGCGAAGACGCAGTAGGTGTTGTCCGCGAGCGCCGTGATGATGCGCTCCGAGAAAGTGACGCTCGCGCAGAATACCGTGGGCCGCGGCGTCGGCGTCGCCGTCGCCACGGCCTCGACGGCGTCGTAGAGGGCCTGGATCGAGGCCGCGTCGAGCGCGCTCGAGTAGACGTAGACCTCGTCGATGGAGCCCGTGAAGTATCGGACGCGGCCGCCGGAGCCAATTTGAGATCCGATGGAAAGCGGGTAGTCAGCCCCGGTGTCCAGGGTCGAGGGCGTGAAGCTGCCGGCTTCGACGCCGTCAAAGTAGAGCGTCCAGACGGTCTCGTCGAAGGTGTTGCAGTAGTGGTGCCAGCCGCCGTCGTCGGAGCCGGCGACGACGAACTCCTGGTTCCACGCGCCGTTGTAGCCGTTGCAGCGCAAGGTCGCGGCGTCCGTCATGACCTCGAGGGCGAATCGCTTCCCGCCGGCGTTCGAGTTG